TGTCTGCGAGGAGTTTAATTATGTTTGTTTGCTTAGAGTTCAATTATGTTTTGTCCATTTTGCTGAGAAGGACTTATTGAGCTCCATTGTGCGACCTTAATGGACTCAGCAACAAAACACTTCCCATTGTTTCGCTAACTTCTGTTATATCTCCATTCATTTAAACTAAAACAAGAGAGTGGGATTCTTATATGGCAGTCAAATTGGTAGTACTGTTGTATTGCAAGTTATTTTAGCAGTAGTCATATTGTGGTAGTACTCAATGTTCAAACCTAATACATAACCAAAAGGTATTTCTAATTTCTTGTCAACTACGTATTATTTTGTGTTTAAGTAAATCTTGGATCGTAAAAGAATTACGGGCCCTACAAACAAATTCAGAGCATTACCCAGCAGTCAGCTTGCTTAAACATCTTCAACACCACAGAGCAGTAAGAAGACCAGTTGATGAGACACAGTATCGGTGCGTAATCCATTATCCGATTCAATATCCTCGACCAATCTCTAATTTATGTGGAGCGTTCTTGAAATTACAAGGTAATCATGATTGGCATCAAACATGATCAGTCTAAATCTATGAAATGAAGATCTGTCAACTTCAATTTGGATTTTTCAATCTTAAAAAAGGTAATGAATAGTTTAGTCAAATGTACCTTGTATAACATGACCTTGGAAGTAGAGATATTAACTATAAGCCAGAGTTGTAGTGACCAGCTAAACCGAGACCAAGTGTAGACCAAGACCAGAGTGTATCGAGACCAAGCATGCATCGGACCTTTTTGAGTGTGGACTAACACAACTGACATTCCACTTCGAACCTGTTTAAAAGGGAAGATAAATTGTGACCATTATAACCAAATGTTAAGAATTGATAGCTAGATTTCAGTGAGGCAGTTCTTCGACTACATTTTAATCATATTAACACTTTTTTTCCCCACCCATTCAAAAGTAAGACTATTACCACGAACAAAACATTGCATGGATGGTGTCGCGCCACCATCGATCATAAGTGAGGTTTGCTTTCCTGTAAAGCTGCGTCACGTCTCTGCTGGAAGTTAAAAGGGTCCTTTTAATTTCCTGCCTTCAAAAGAAATATGCTGTAGGCAGGTCAGGGACTATTTCTTCACAAAGTCTACTTCAATTTCCACCAACTCCCTTTACTTTGTGTCCCTGCAGTAACATTGATCTATTACAGCAGCCGCCCCGGTGTTATGAATACCATTGCAGACACATAAAGCTGATGCTGTATGTCACAATGTGCAGACCCCAGAAGTATACTTTCTCACTACAGTTTTTGGTATTTATTTATTGACATAACTGTACTTTTTTGAGAGCTCATGCACATACAGTATACATGACGGTTTCCAAATATTAGACAAGTGCACTTAGTAGAGCAGAGTTTTTCACTCTCATTTTAATCTTATGTCACCGTATGCAGCCGTCTGCACAGGCTCTGTGCAGCTAAACTGCAGTTCACTGTGTAACGCTTGTTGACAGTTAGTCGACAAGCGTTACACTGCTAGTCCTGTTCTGGGTTCAGCCCCGTTAGCTCCGTCAGCCAAACACACCATAGGACTCCCACCAGCTGCTAACAGCTAACTAGCCCTCCTCCAGCCGACATGAGAAGACACGCTAGGTTCAGTTTTGTATACATTCATCCATGGCATGCAAATCAAGATGGGAACAATTTGGAATCCAAAGTGAAGCAATTGCTCAGAGAAAATAATAATAATCACAGAGACAATAATACAATACAAGCTCAGCACTTTGAGAGCATTCATAAAATTGTATTTCCTATCTTTCCCCCTTTAGAATCGGAATATAAAATAATTTTAAAATATTTTTATACGTGTCAAATAACTATATGTCAAATTTGAAAGAAGCTCACTAGCATCATTTCCTGCACCAGCAGTCAGCTGTTTTCAGTGTGAATGTTTAAAGGTTTAAACTGATCAGTCACGGTCAGTTCAGCTATGAGCAACATGGAGACATCCAAATGCAGCAAACTAATCCAATGGGGAGGGAATTCAGGACGGCAGATCACAAACAGGAAGTTAACAAGCAGGAGTGGGAAGTAGCTGCTAGTTATACCGTGGTGCTAATTGAGGTAACAAGGCACAAGTGTGCTGGGTGGAGCTGGATCAGGTGACAGGCAAATTGGAGGGAAAGGCTGAGGGCACCTGGTGGACAGGTGGGGATCTGGAGGGTTCCATAATAAAGACAGAGGCCCAATCCCTATGTCCCCCCCTTACGGACTCACAGACTTTGAGGCGCGCTCCCGCGAAGTCCTTGAGGGTTTAGGGTTTGAGGCTTTAGGGGGGACACTGGGATCGGGCCAGAGGCTTGAGGTTGGAGAGTGGTGAAAGGGAGAAGGACAGGTGTCACAACGACGTGGCGTGATGTCTGATGAACAATTACATCATGACCATTAAAAAAATATGTTTTTTTGGTTGATCATCATCATCACTTGCATTGTGACAGTGAGGTTTTTGAAGATGAGTTTCAAACCATGGCTAAATCTAGCAAAGATATTTAACTGATTTTTGTACTCCAGGATTTTAAATGTAATAATATATTTCACGTATTAGCTCATGATCTTCCAAGCACAACATTTGCCGTTATGTGATGATTACGGCACTTTTTAAACTTTTTAAACAATTGCCATATCCTTCCTCCGATCTGATAGACGATGACTGGACTTGCTTCTGGCAGAAGCCTTCAGGGAATGAAGATCAATCCCATTCTGTAATTGTCTGCTGATTAATGATATGCTCAGCGCACTCAATTAGGTTTAGTCCGAGGTACAGGAACCAATACATGGATTCTCTACTTTTTTTCCTTTTTTTTAACGTTGTTGACCCAGAACTGAAATATTGTCATTTTAAAAAAAACTGTCCACACGGAACAATATCACAGTTAAGTTACAGCTCCACACATGACGAGAGTAGTAGTTATGAATCCCTCTTTCTTTACATTTCTGTCCTAAAGGTGATTATGCATTTATGCTATCACACATTTATATCACGATATAACATATAATATAATATATGGGCCACACTTTTCCACTGAGTTATCACAATGGCGACCATTAGCAGTTATGAAGCAGTAAAGCAGCACGGACAGTCCTGGTCATCTTCCAACGCCTCTAGTCTGTGACACAGCCAAAGTTAATGCACCTAAATTGTGATATATGTTTGACAATCTCATTTAACCGTTGATCCCAACCCCAGTCCTCATTATGGACCCGCGTGTATTTGTGTGTTTGTGTGCGAGTGCGTGTTACAGAGGGACGAAGGAAGGTCACCTGTGTCTGCCCTTGGTAGACAGTGATGGCATTTCGCTGATGTTAACTGACACTATACACAAATAAAATGTTTACATGGAGGCCACCAGACCTATACACAAACACAGCTGGTGTCAAGGACACAGAGTGGTTCGTGCCTCTCGGCTGTAAATGTCGAGAGTCATCTGTGGCAAATTGTGACTTTACAGTTGAGCTCATTTAAAGAAATAACGTGCAAGGTCATTTATTTTTTACATTTGTGGCACGATCAATTCAGTGTCATTAGTTTATTGTGAAAAGCTGGAAAGGAAAGGTAGTTTTAAGTCCAACAACGAGGCTGCCGGAGGAGCTGCATTCTTATTGTGTTCCTGCTGGTGCACTCGGTGGTGAAACACATGGTGCCATTACCAAAATGCAAACAGTCCATCTGTTTTTGGCCTCTCGCTCGATAGGTCCCCTGTAGAGCCGGGTCTCTAATAGTTTCATTGATTGTTGGCTCTTGTCATTCATCAGAGAAGGGTCAAATTCCCACTTCTATCTAATGGTACATTATTTAAACCTAAATCTCTCATCTTTAAATAAATGTCACATGCAGATGGGCTCCAACAAATGGATTGGCATTATCACTGTGGTCATGTAAAAATGAAAAATGACAACCCTGAGGAATTTAAATTCTTAGTGATTCATTTTGGGTCAAAACTCTGTGTCCATCCTCAGTACGTTGTTGTTGTATAATGAGTATTCACATATTCCCTGCCGTATAGATTCTGAATTCTTGCCCCTGCTGGTTGTTTGTCCTCTGGTTTGTGCTCTGACTGGTCAAGACATCTGCAATTCCCCAGGTAAATAAGACTTGGGTGCTGTGTCGCCATCATCTGACTTTTATTAATGAGCCAATCAATTCCTGTTTGTATCACCCTTTCAAACTAAAACCCTGGCCTCACAACACTTAACAAATTGGCTGATGAAGGGCTGAGCGTGTGGCGTGGAATGGCTCCTTCGCCGTTTCATTGGCATTAGCCAATTGTTGTGAAATAGGTTGTTAAATACGATCTGTCAGGCGATAGCAATGAATAAATCAACCTTTTTTCCGCTGCCGTACACGCAATAGTAGAAAGTTTCAGTGGCTTTATCTTCTCTATGTGACCAAATGTATGTAGACATAGCACATGCATTTGTGGACCTAACATTTTGGGGCTGGCCCTTCAAAAATAAAATAAATGTTTTTCCAAACAAGAACATGACTGGCCTGCACAGAGCCCTGACCTCAAACCCATCCAGCCCCTTTGGGATGAACTGTGAGCAAGGCCTTATTGCGCACTTGACAGTGTCTGACCTCACTAACACTCTCGTGGCTGAATGGGAGCAAAACCCTGCTGTCAGGTTACAAAACCTTGTGTGTAAGTTATTCAAGGTACCACTTTCTGATAAATCATCCTTTATAAGGGATAAAAAGTTGTAATGGTGTTATCAAAGGTTAATGAATCCTTTATTAATGTTTTATAGATCAGTTACACTGTAGATTTGTTATAACTCATTAATACATACAGCATTTGGGTTGGAGGGTGTCTGTCTGTCTGTCCGTCCATCCGTCTATCCATCTATCCATCTATCCATCCATCCATCTCTGTCATCTGTCCATCCGTCTATCCATCTATCCATCTATCCATCCATCCATCTCTGTCATCTGTCCATCCGTCTATCCATCAATCTACCCATCCGTCTATCTATCCATCCATCCATCCATCTTTTGCCTCAACTTTTCTCCCACATGTTTTACTGTGACAAGAACCCACTCAGCTGAAGCTCTTGATTGCCATCTACTGATACGTTGCCACTGTTACACCACGCAGCTGATACACTTCTCACAGCAGAACATGTCACTGTGTTGCTGCATTGACAGAGACCAAAGAGATGATTTTCAGTGATGTACAAAGTTTTATTATTGAAGAAGAATACGGTGCAGTTGCATGATGTCTTGAACTAAGAGCTACTGTATTGTTGAAAAACCCTACGGGTCCTTTCTTTGGGTTGTAAAAAACATGCCAGCAGGTTTGTTTCTTCTTTTGTGAAAAGAATAAATAAATGGTGTATCTTGTGTGAAACAGTCTCTACTAAATGATATTTTCAGTGCAAATGTTAAAATGTTGAAGAATGTCCAATTTGCTATAACTCGGGATAGTTTTAAGGTCACAAGAACTGTTCATGCTTCAGATGTTCCAATGCCATGCTTTTAACATTATCAGTGGCTAAAACTGTAACAGAACAACCGCTCTCAAGCCACAGAGCCTCCAATATATAAAATGCACTTGGACTACTTTTATGAAATGTTCAGAATTTATTAACTTACAAAATAATGGATATTGGTGTGAAAAATAAGGCCATGTTGATGTTGGTTCTTGATTGCCTTTGCTTGCTTTTTATTGCGTTTTCCTCATTTAGTGCAGGACTGACACAGCAGCAGAGAGTCTAAACGACTGACCTATGCATCACGGGCTCAATACCTTCATGTCTGAGTAACAAGTGTCTTTTATGATTTACTTAGTTCAACTGCATATTGTATAATAACAATACAAAATATATGAGTAAATGTGCATTTTAGTTTCCATATGTGGCATTAAACATCTGCCTTTGTATTTAATGTGGACATCATTTGTTGACATAAAAAAAAAACTGAAAGCTTGGGCGGCCTTCACATGATTGTAACTCAATTAAAGCCACATTAAAAAAAAAGCAAACGTATTTTAGCTTGAAACTGGTCATGCACGCACATTTTCATGTCTTGTTCACCTCTCGGTTTGTTTGTATAAGAAGTGAGACACTCGTGGAATTTGTCCGCTTACTTTTCTTCTGGTTTTGTAGCCAGCTTAAACACGGTCCTTAAATCAACCATTTAACATGCCATGCAGCAGGGTCACTGGTTTACCAACGGGGAAGTATCTGCAATACTTTGAGGAAAGTTCTTCTGCAGTACTTAGTGAACACCAGGCTGAATTAAACCATTCTAAAAAGCAAGCACATTTCTTTCATTTTTTTCTCTGCAAGAATCTAATGGATTATCATAGCTAAGGTTTTGGCATCGAAACACCTCATGTCATTCAAAGGTATAGAAGTGTTATCAAGACACTATGTTAACCCTGTGGTGAGACTGAAACGTTCTTGCATCACTAACTTCCACTATGTCGTCAAAGTTTAAGTGGTCAGCATAACAGATGAAGTGCTGAAATGCACTTACTATTCATAAAAGAAGGTGATTTTCTCTCTTATGTTTCATTCAAATCCCTGTCACGTACAAGTTCTGTGCAAAATGAAAAAGTTTCCTAAATCACACTCCCACATCTGTTCTCTCGCGTACCTTTCATCACTAATAAATAAACAGAAATGTCCCCAAGTAAGAAAGAAATGTCCCTAAACAGCTATTTTTCTATCAACCATGATCTCGATGGATACAATGCAACTGTAATCAAGCATTGCATGTAAAGTGTTGGATCACAAACAAAACAAAAAGGTGATAAAGGACGACTTTTTCATTTTTATAAGTACATATTTTTACCATCCTCACAAATAAAATGCTAATCGTAACCATTCACTTAACCTAAAATAGCCTGTAATAGCATCGTCAGCAGCAACAGTCAGTCAGTTGGCTCCTGATAGGTCCCCCAATGGCCTACTTTAGTCTTGGCCATGCCCTGTCTCCACATGACACCTCTCCGGTGAAGGACAGAGGTGAGGGAGCGTAGAGTTCAGAGTCTGTGTCTGATTCCCCCTCTGCTATGAAGGGTCTGACCCTGGAACAGAGTGACGGTCCGGCTGCAGCTTCAGTCCCTGCTCCGGCACCTGAGCCTGTGAAGAAAGAGGGCCCAAAGAAGTCCTCCTTGGCCTGGGAGATGCTGAAGCCGCTGAAGGAGCGCTCCAGCTCCTCGTGGTCGACGGACGGGATGGACAGGGACGTGTCGCTCTCCATGACGGTGGTGTCCTTCTGACGTCTCCGATGGCGCCTCCTGCTTCGAGAGCCGCTCTCTCTGCCGCCAGGGCCGGAGGAGGATCGGTCGTGGACCGGAGCAGGCGGAGGCGGGAGGCGGAACAGGGTGGGCGAGTGATCGCCGCTGCCGCCGACCGGCGAGGGGGTGTTGGCCACACTGCTGTTCCAGGCGGGCTGGCTGAGGGGGTGCTCTAGCTGGTGCTGCCAGGAGGTAGAGGGGCGGCTGTGGCTGCCAGAGGGGGTGCCCACCGATATGGCCACGCAGACACCCAACAAAGGATCTTTCTTTTCCAAAGACCCATCCGAGCACGACACAGCTGCCGCCGAGCACGTCTGCAACTCCTTCTCCTCCTTCACCTCCTCCTCGCCCTCCTTCTCCTGCTTGTCCTCCTCCGGGCTGTGGTAAGGCGGGGCTGGATACGGCTCCTTGACGTTGAAAAAGGCCTCGGTTTCCGAACGAGTGATGCCCATGCGCTGCACATACACGTTGACCAGGAAATCCAGTTTCCTGTCCATGCAGTTCACCTGCAGGGAGAAAGAAAAACACACGCACACAATGTAGAAAAGGTGTTCCCAAAACGTGAACCCACCCGTACCACGTTAACAAACCTGGAGGAAACATTCATACCTGCTTTTCCACTTTGATCAGACGTCCCATCATGCTCTGGTCATCTCCAGCTTCTCCCTCAGCTTGAGGACCTTTACCAACTATCTGGTCAACTCTAGCATTTAGACAAAAGTAATATCTTAGATTAAAACACTGTTCTGCCACATGGGTTTCAACTTAAGAAGTTCATGATGCCAAAATGATAGTGAACTACCGTTACATGAAAATGAGGTAAAGAAAGCCTTCAATGTCGACAATACTCATCAAGCCACAAGGATGTTTGGAATGAATGAATGGCGGCCTAAGTTTCCTGAAAAAGCATGGATTTCAGGTTGACGGTGTGGATGCATGCATAATGAGATCAGGCGGTCTTTAATGAGGCAAAGAGTGAGTCGAGGGGGGAGATTCTGTCTAGGGGCCAAAATGCATCACTTGGCATGCTTTTGTTGTGCTTCATGCTTCATTTCCATTGCATCCTGCTGGGGGAGCTCTCCTTCTGTCTCACCAACGTGAGAGCAAGCATCTAGCACTGTCGAACCCCTGTTGAGTGGGGGCCACGTGACACGGCTCATCACATTCTGTCAGAAAATGGGCAGGATGTCTCGCTTTTTTTCTGCCTTTTTCTTGACAGCAGCTGATATAACGCGACATAAGAGCTAAAGAGGCTGCACAACATTCTCCAAATGTCGCCCGTGAAGCTGTTTATCCAACTCTTGTCTTGATTCTATTTGATTACAAATGTTAAACTTTATCTTAGCATGCGTCATCTGGCTAAATAAGACCAGTGGATTAAACTCAAAAGGGGTTCCGTCGATCAAAATAATAAGGTAGCTTGTAACTGCTTCAATATTTGGGCTGTGGTGTAAAGAGCATAATGCTGGTAAAATGGTCATTCTAGGGGTGCAGTCTATTAACCTAACCTAGGGTCTTCAGTGGACTTCTTATGGCGAGGTGTTGATGGGGGAGGGGGCCCCACAATCATATCTATCCTGGCAAGGCACACAGAGACGATATGAGCGCAATGAAAAATGAAGCAACGTCGGGAATCACATCAGCTATGGAGAACACGTGTCAATATATTCCACACACACAAGACATACGGTGAGTCTGACTTGCTTCGTTGGATGAGGAGTGCAACTGTTGGAATATATTCATTCTAGACCTTTGGAGGGATCAAAATGGGCGGAGCTAACTCGCGGGAGGTAAAACAATGTGATTATACATCAATGTTGGATCTAAAATGATTTCGTGACAAAAGGAGTGAATCGTAGTTTGATAAGGAAATGTTACACACACAACACTGGGATCTGAATACAACACATGTCGCCGGACAAAATGGAACAGGCGAATCAATGACTTGTGTGTCACGACATGTTTGTATCCAGCGACACCACCAACACTGAATTACTGAATCACATCTCTGCTGTTACACCGAGCTCAAACTGATTATTGAACCAAAACAAATAAACTGAAAATGCATCCTCCGAATCCACCCCGACATTTAGACTCACAGCGAAAGTGACGGTCGATCACTCTGAGACGACCTGGAAATGAGCGTGGGTCAGATTTAAACTGCAATGTACTTTACAGCGACCGTTCACTTGCCTGGACTGCAGGTTCTTGATGCGAGACAGCATGTCCAGGTGACCTGCCGAGTACTGCTCGATCACATCCATGACATCGTAAGGCCGCAGGCTCTCTTTGAACCTTCGCTTTGACACCAGAAACTTCATGACGCTGAGGAAGGACACAGCATTTTTTAAGCACGAGTGGGCCTTTTTGCACAATGGACATTTTGACTTGTCAGAAAAGGACAGTTAATGATGAAGTGTCCCAATAAGCTGGGACCAGCATGCACAGCACCACAACCCTCAAACTGAAGCAGCTAAATGGAATTCAGCTTTCATTTTTTTTTTTTTTATTCACACCGTTTCCTACTGTGACATGTCAAAATATCTTTCGTTAAAAAGGCTTTTCATCACAATTTGAAACAGTCGATGCGGAAAACTGTTAACAGGTGGTCATATACAAGCAACTCCACAGCAACTGAGCAAACTCCACCCACTAAGAATGTTAGATATGATTGAGTGTTCAGGAAAGAAAGTATAAAAAGTGGACCTTGAGTGAAGATTATTTTGCCGAACTACTATGTCAAAGGTCAAGCATGAACCATCATGCTCGGACTTGTTGTCATAATTTTGGCCATCCTTACTGTTGGTTAAAATGGCATTGAACTAGACAAAGTCATTTCTGAGATCTGGGGACACTACAACAAAGTCCAACTTCATTTGGAGGGAAAACCAAAAGTGAGAGCTCCCAAATGCTACAAGGTCAAAGTTGAACCAGAAAGTTGGGTCTGTGTTGGTCACAACAAACCAATTACTTTAATTTTTTCTTCCGGGTAAGTTTACCTGACCAGGACATTAGTCATAAAGCTGTCTGACTTATTGCCCCATCAGACTTCTTTTGAGCGATGTCACCACGTTGCCAGATCTCGCCAATAAACTTAAGCACAATGTTATTATTACGGATGAATGATGGCCGAAACAAGAAAAGCAAAGTTATCCTTAAACACACTTGCACCATTGATGATTAGTTATGAACACAACACATAATTGCCGAAGTAAACATTGCAGAACCATTCAAATTGGGTAATAAAGCGAATCCTTACCAGATTGCCCTTATTGTCACCCTCAGGCCTGGTGGTAATTCTTGATCGAGAAACTCACAGTGGCAGCTCTTATCATCGCCAATTTCCTCTACGGGGAGGCTCGCCTCTGCAGAGCAAAGACAAGAGCACTCATAAAGCATATTTAATCTGCTTCCACGTGCCCAGCGTCCACAGCAGAAGCAGAGCTGTTGCTTTTAGCTTTAAAGAGGTGCAAAATTCAATTACCAAGTTGGTTTCAAGCCAGTTAGTTTGAGAGTGTGGTAAGCAGGCTTTGCGGAACAACGGAGAAAAAAAAAATAGAACTTGGTGCAGAATTGAAGGATAGTGCTGATAATAATAATAATAATAATCATAATAAAACATCGATTTTCTGTAGCGCTTTTCAAAATACCCAAAGACGCTTTACAAGGCACAAACGGGATAAAGCTCTTTACTGAACCCTTTAATGACAAGTACTCTCTTCCCACCACCAATTACAGTCTAGATTAGCGTTGTAATCTATGGATTTTGAAACGTATTGCATACAGACAAAGGAGTCAAGGCCTAATCATGGTCTAACAGAAACTGGAAGAGGTTCTTGTAGGGAAAGTAAGAGGTCTCTCCATGCAACATAAAGCGGGCTTTTGGGCATTTTGTCTCTGGGTAAATATTCGGAATAACTTGGCACCAATTGACTTGAACCCACAATCGACTCGCCTGACACTGATATAGATAAATACTACAATCACCTTTATTGAGAATGCTAATGTTAATACATGCTTGTTCTCAGCTAGTATCATGCTTCAGTCTACAGTTATCGTTGAGTAGGAAAACTCATGAGAAGAAAATAGAAATAAAAAAAGGGTTCGTGTCAAGTGAACAAATCCCAGCAGATTTCAACATGCAGGTTCCTCAGACCGGTGTAGCTGACTTTTCTTTTGAATATTTCCCCCATAAAATCCAACCAACACAATATCCCAATGTCTTACTTATTAAACCTTCAATTGCTGCAAAGAGAGGGAGAGAGAGAGGGAGGAGAGACATGGGGAAAGACTTGTTATGGAGTGTAACAGGATGACAATGGCAGACAAATTGATTCCGAACATGGAACAAGTGGAGGACACGGAATGATTTCTGGTTCATGTTTGAAAAGGCTGGTCTCTCTGCTCTTACATTTACACGTACCAAACTGCGTATATTATAACGTTTATGTAACTTATGTGGCAGAATATACAGCTGGGCATCACAGAGTGCATCACAGTGAAGACATGTCATGGTGACTTGTCTGACCTGGAGAACTCTTCAGTCCAGAGTCTTCGTCCTGCATTTCAATCAGCACTTTAACATGCCATGAAGTGGAGGAAGAAAAAACAACCAATGAGACTTGGTTCAAATAGTTCAAATAGTTTGACAAAAAAGGCAAAGATACGGCGACATAGAGAAGTCTATTTGCTGACACAGTGGCCTGGATGACATGTGGATGCGGTTGGGCTGACGAGCAACAGGTGATGGCTGGACAACAACATTTAGATGTTGGTGTCCGGTGACCAACGGACCTCTGTCGACCCGGGACAATGTTGAAACGTTGGTTTTAGGGTGTCTTCCTGGTATGTTTGAATGCATGCGGGAGGAATCACAGTATGTAGCAACAGTCTGCACAATGAGATAAGACAGGCTTAATTGTAAATCAATTAAGTGCAACAACTCCTCCTTCTAAAAACAGACAGCTGGAGAGATCTATCTATCCATTTCAGGAAGAAAGTGATTAAGCGTATTCCCCCAGAAAATGCAGAGATATTCCTTTAAACAGCTTCAAACTGTTTAAAGTGTCTTGTGAAGGTTTGAATGCTGTTTCAGAGACTTTCCACCTCAACCTGAATGCAATTATACAGCAAATTGATAATTTATTCTACTGCGAACGATTGGCAAATTGCTATTCCTAAAACAGGGGTATTTGTAGCGGTACTGTCCCTTTAATACTCATTCTGCTGCACTGTGTGGAGCTCCCTCACCCTCGGAGTTTTGCCGCGAGGCGCTGCCCCTGGACCTGAAGGAGTGCTTTGGCCCTCGGTTCTTCTCGGTGAAGCTCCAGCTCTTGTCGACTTTGCCGGGACTCGCCTCGGCCCCATCCTCTGGCCCCGGAGACTGGGATTTCCCCTTGGCCATGGGAGCCTTGGAGGGACTGGGGAACACCTTGTCCTTCAGGCTGGCCTTCCGGCTTGAGGAGGGAAATGTAACCAATTTTTATTTTTTAACAACATCATTAAATTTAGGCACACAACTATCTGCAACTAAATGCCTTCATCCTACTGCTGTGTTGCTCTAAGTGTAATCTTGTGAATTTGTCAAATTCAACACTGATGTGATGGTGAATCTTACCTCAGCAGAAACGCAAAAAGGGCAATGTCCTACAGCAGAAGGAGCCATGGCCACATACCAACATAGTTGAGCATTCGGCGGGTCGGGCAAGCAGCAGGGAGCTACGAGCGAGCAAGCATGCACGGGAAGCAGAGTGGCAGCGCACACCTCAAAAAGGAAGAGACTATGCAAAAAGTGAACACAAATCGTGCAAAATAATTCACCATCACACTGTGCGCTCCAACTGATAACGGGGGAATCGGTCAAAGGAAACGCATTAGGCAATATGCACCTTGCCTGCTGAACAGAAGTGCTGATTAGGCAAACAAAAAAAAAGGCAGCAAGCAAATCAACGGCATAAAGTCATTACTAAACAGAAACCATAAATCAATTGTGACAGGGCGATAAACAAGGATGTATATCTGTGTTTTTTCAGAGAGAAACGTAACAGCTGTGGGTGGATTAGCCCTCTCATGTACACATCATTGAAAGAACTGCACTATCTTTTACTCGGTGAAATATCATATCATTTATCATTCAATACTGTGATTCCTCTACCTTTCTTTGTGTTTAATTAAAGAGGGAGAGCAACAGAGGTGGGAAAGGAAGGAGACACACACAGACTTGCAGTGCAAACTATACCTAATAGTTCTCGGACAGCACCCGCAAAGTCTGTCATTGTGTGCATTTTCATTACTGGAGTGGCGGGAAGTAGAGGAGACACAAAAAGATCAAGTAGCAGTGGATACAGTCACAAAAACAGCAGTGTGCGCCATACTGTGATGCAAGTAACACTTTAATACATTTGCAACCAGTCGCATATCACAAAGCATGTGGAAAGATTTGAAATGCCCAGTCGCATTTTTCTCATGATGTTTTTTTTGTTTTTTAAACAGTTCAAATTAAGATATGCAAATGGTTTACGAAGTCATGATAAAGTGTTACCACATCGTCAATAATTACACTTGTTTCTTTGGCTTGAAAACAATGTGATCAAAATCAAGCAATGCTCGTAAAGTGTTCCAAATCACTTTATCCCCCAGATGCTGAAAGCTAGAGCGTCAAAGAACAGCTCGAAGACTTGAGGGAGCGGGAGTGAGGCCAACGTCAGCCGATCTGTGAGCACCATGTGAGCAAATGCAGCATGACCCTTCTTGAAGGAGGTGCGTAACACGCACGCACGCACGTGCACACACGCACACACACACACACACACACACACACCCCCAAGAAGAGTGCCTCAGCAGCAGCTAAGAGCAGATTTGAAGAGAAGCCAACGGGGGAGGTGAAGAGAGATGAGAACCGATCGGATCACAGACCTGGGAAAGGTTTCCGCTTGAGAGTCCTTCCTGTGAGGAGAAAGGACACCAGCTGTGACATGTGTCGCTCATGTGTTGCACCGTACGTCATAATCGACATGCTGTTAAGATGCTCAATATTGAGTCATGCAGCTAGATGGTAAAAGCAGTGAAATTTAAATAATATATAGGGGGAGACAAAGCAATGATGTAATCCAAAGCTGGCACTTAAGTCAATAGGTATGGATGTTTACATAAATAATAACTTATTTAAACCTGCAATAGCTTTTTTGGGCCAGTTGGGGGCAGTAGAAACAAGCTGTTAATTAGCTTTTAGATATTTTGGTCTTCACCAAATTTAATCGGGTCTTCAATTTGCTAAATGCTCCACTCTGTTCACCAGTGTCATGGTCACTATCGTTGTCGTTATTATGACCTCTTCTCATATTGATTAGTGTAGCTTTAATATGGATTTCAAAGTATTTTTCTTTCTATTCCAAGATTATTGCTTCAGCAATACTATTCTTTATCCCCATTACCAGCATCCCAAAGTCATCATCATCATCATCATCATCAGTTTTGTCTCTGTCATGTTTATACCTGAATGACTTGCCCTTCAGATTCCTCAGCAGGTCCAGCTGATTCAGAGGTGGAATAAGTCTGGGAAAAGACAAAGAGCATTTCTGTTGAGTCACTTTCACTAAGTCAGTGTTGGAAGGTGAAAGCTCGCTGCCGGGCACTTGAAAGCTAATTCCATTTAGTTTGGCAGTCATCTACTCTGCTAGTCCTTACCTTTTCACCCTAAATCACGAGTGGAATGAAACCGAACATGAAGTCATTTCCAGATAGAGAAGACAAGCAGCGACCCTCTAGTTTTGGATGCAACAAAAGGCAGAAATTGGCGCCGTGAAAGTCAAGCACGGCAGCTTATTTGCTGATTCAAACAGTTGGACTGATGAATACGTGGTTGATTTTACAAAGTAGCCGCTGGCAATTTGTCTTCTGAGCAGCATTTCAAAGAGGCGCCCGGTGGCCCTGCTAATACACCAGCCTCATCCGCTGTAAAATGACCCTTATGAAAGCAGAAAGTGAAGAGCAACACCAGTGTGTGATTCTTCACAACAGACGTATCTGATTCAACAGGGGAGTTTTGCGATACAATAAGACGAGGATGCCCTGCAGGTTTTCCACTCAGCTTCCCAGTTTTAAGAGAGATGGCAGAATGCGATATGGGAAAACAGATGCATTTTTTGAATAGTTAAATAATACACAGCACTATTCAGACAGTTTCATCCCGTACCTGTACATTGGGACAGCTACAGTCTGCTCGTAGAAATCCCAAGTGTACAGCAGATCTGTGCGGGAAAGGTTGGTAGCATAAAACCTCCACGAAGCCTGGATGGAGGAATAAAGAATAATAATACATGTTTTACTTTTTGTCTAGAGCACAAAACAGAGATGTTTTGGTAGTTTCATAAATCTGAAAAGAAAAGACATCTGTATACCTGGAGGAGGCCTGCTGCAGGGGTACGCCTCTTCTCAAAATGTTTCTGCCTGTGTTGCTCTTGGACTTTGAGGGCGAAGCCAGAACCCAGGATGCCCTGTGCAGATTCAGTGTGACACATAAAGTGATTAGTTACCTGTATTGACCTCTGCTGGCCAGGAGTTGGGATTGCAACTCTTGTAGAACCCTTTCAGAGCAGAGCTCGGTGAGCAAATCCAACGAAAAGATCTACGTAATATCACTGATTTTCACGAGTCTGCAAAGCCTCAGGGTAATAGAAATGTGAGCGCAAATGCTGGCGACCGCGGCAAAAAGTCTTTCCTGTTAACAGAGCAATCCACTTTGTTTATGTGGGTGTGATCAACTGAACAGGTCTTAGCTGCTCACTTAAGGCTTACTGCTGAGTCTGACATCTTCAAATATTTAAATGAAAAGGGGGAAATGAGCAGAGTTTTTGTGGCTTCAGAGGAAGCTTTTAGCTTATTTCTACAGTCGAAGTACCACAGAGGAGAAATGGAATGTAACACGCTGGCTCACTTAGAGTGCTTTCTTTTTGTGAGTGACTAGAGTGGAATCATAAAAGACTGAAAAGTTATTAGGTGGCTTGGATGCACATTATCATATAAAGTGCTGCACATCTTTTTCCAATATATCACAGCAGACATATCACAGCAAGAAGAGCAAAGGTATAATTGATAACATTGATTCTGTTTAGGTGCTCCAGATCCATGGCCCGATGCTGGTTCACTGAGATAGTCATATGTAACCAAGCCATGATTGTTTGTGATAGTGGTTCAACCTGTGCTTTCACTGCAAGTACAACTCAAAATGTCTGATGTGAGAAGTGTCTACTACACTACACAACTACTACACAACACACCCATTACACTACACAATACACCCACTTTTCCATACATTACAGCCACTTTACTACACTACACATAATCATTCTGGTGGGTCTTTCATGGAGAAAATTGATTGAATTAATGTGATAGGACTGCACACACTCTTTCTGGTGGAGTGCCGTAAGACCACATCAATAAGTGCTTTACACTATGATCAATAGAGACTAAATGAACACAAACAAGGCACAATCAGCATTATAAGCCAACAAAACGAGATTCAAAGTACCCCTGATGATCCCTCGTACTTACAGCGGGAAGAGCAAAGAAGGCCACCCCGATCATGCTGAATGTTGCTGCCAGCAAGCGTCCATTCCAGGTCTTGGGAACCTTATCACCATAACCAATGGTGGTGAGAGTGATCTGTTCAAAATAAAGTCACTACTTTATTCAAGTGGTGTGGTAAAGGTTGCAGATTTTTTTTAAATAAAAGCGGATGCAAACTGGAAATGAAATCAGTAACATAACATCACAGAATGTTTTCTCTTTAACTATAATGTGGATACTGTAGTCTTTTGTTTTAATTTCGGGTAAATCTTACCAGTCCCCACCAAAGAGCATCAGCATAGGTCTCAAACTCCTTATTTGACTCCTTTTCCACCGAGTACACCAGGAATGAAGCCAAGATGAGACACAGAAAGCCTATGTACCACGCCGTGATGAGCTCCTACAGGGAGAATCAATACAATGAGCATCAGGGAATCCAAAGTAATAAAGTATCACCTAGGATGCCTTGCAAAATGGTGATATAACCACTTTAAATTGGTTTTAAAAAGAAATGGCATTTCTGTAATAATATCGGACATTGTTATGTGAGGTGCATGCCCTCTGTGGCAAACCAGGTACTTCATGAACGTCTTTATTTCCCTCAACACATGCTGCACACCCGACCTCTCTCCCTCTCTCCACATCACACACAAAACACACGCACACACACACACACACACACACACACACACACACAGTTGCATATTTTCCACAGCTTATTAGTGCATGCTAATAATTATATTTCGAAGCTCATTAAAATAAAACTGCAAAGAATTATGACGGAGTAACTTCGAAGAGATACTGGAAACAGTTCGTCACTGAAGTAGCTCAGTGGACAATGAAGCACTTTTAGTTTAAAACCCATGTGTCTTCACATGGCAGGCCATCCTGCTTCTTTTTGCCACCCAAGGACATCATTTCCACTGGGGGGGAGGGCGGGCCAGAGACATGTCCCCCTCACTTTACAAAGTCCTCTGTTTGCTTCTCAGCATACAGGCTGCAATAGCTTATTAAGATTGCTGAGGTTGGACACAATCTGAGAGGAAGACTACAGACATTACTCAAGGTAGGAACAGTACTCCTCTGCATGTTTTCTGGGTAAAAATCATTGTTAATTATTCTCCTAACACGATGCTGGAAGTGGACATAAATCAAATAGAAGACAGTAAAGGATAGTACTTTTTATAGTGAAGATTGTAGTTACATTATTCATTATTTTAGGTCTTTCTGTTATGCTACCATTATTATGTAAAGCATGATAGCTCAAATTTGATTTTTGATTATTTTTTTTTTAACCTGCGCATGATAAAAAGTGTAGTTCATTTAGCTGCAGTGACATCAGCTGTGGTTTTAAACCCCGCAGATGGCTGGCTACTAAAACCAACTGTCTAATCAAAAGATGTTTCAGTGAAGGAGCGCACGACTCCTCCTGAGCCGCTTCACAAAAACATAACGCAAATGACGTCACCTTGCTGTGGGCATACACTACAGATCCGAGCAACTTCCAGGTGCCTCCGCGGCGATCCATGCGCAGCATGCGCAGGATCTGCAGGAATCTCAGACTTCTGATGGCCGAGGTGGCAAAAACATTTCCCTTGGATCCAGCTGCCAGCACGGACACTGAGGCGATCAGCACCATGATGTCTGGAGAGAGTAAGAGAGCAAAACATAAATCATAAAGCTCCACACGTGCTGGGGAGCTGGCAAAGCCATACATGGTTGATCAAATCAGACTGAATGAACTACACTTTACTGAGTACAAAAGTTGTTCCAAATTCAAATTTCAGTTGAGTTTCCCATGGCTTCATCTCATCTTTAGCATAACCTCAATGTAACGCTGAAAATCACAAGAAAGCATGATAAAGATGGTTGTCACATTCTTAAACCCTCCAGGATTTGAATGTGCAAATCGTTAATGTATGTGTTGTAATTCACTTATCCTGTTCTACACATGACATCTATTGCACTTCTGTCCATCCTGGGAGAGGGATCCCTCCTCTGTTGCTCTCCCTAAGGTTTCTTCCTCTTTTCTCCCCGTTTTTTGGGGGAGTTTTTCCTGTTCCGATGTGAGGGTCCCGGGACAAGAGGATGTCAAATGTGTACATATTGTAAAGCCCTCTGAGGCAAATTTGTAATTTGTGATTTTGGGCTATACAAAAATAAATTGAATTCAATTGAATTGAATTTGATTAAGGAAAAAAAATGGAAAAACACAGTGTTATGTTCTTTAGAAAGAGCAAGGCGAGAGAAATGACTCAAGCTCCCACCCTGTTTTTCTCACCTATGACACAGAAAGGCTTTGCGGCGAATTTTAGCCTCCCTCTCGATCCTCTGTACCGACAGCAGCAGCCAGCGGCCCATATCCTCACAATGTACTCCACCCCAAACACCACGATAGTCACAATTTCCTGTGGGACAAAGCCGAAACAGTGGAGTTAACCCTGTGACGTGATCGTATATATGTGCAGTGTCGGTTTACAGCAAATACAATTGTACCTACCAGGATGTACAAGGCACTCTCTGAGCTATTTTTGAACTCTCTGATGGTGGCAAATACTGAAAGTATGAGGCAGGAGAAGACCAGGAGGAAGCTGGAAGAGATAGGAGAACAAAAACAGTTTTGGTTAGTTAGTTATTTTTATTGCAAGGTATGTCACTGCTCCATTTGTCTGATCCTGTTTTAGAAAGGGGAAGCTCAACAGTGAAGCAGACTGGAGAAGCGTATGGATATAACAGCTGTGAAATGCTCAGTCAGGTATAAGCCACACAATCATGTGCATTCGGTGTGTGAAGCAGTTCAGCAAACACAACCAAACTTAAGCCTTAATATTCTATGAATGGGACAATCCCTTCAAAGTATTCTAGTAACTAAACAGCATTATGTCTTTCAGAAACAGTGCCCCAGTCCATCTGGATAAACGACAGACCTCCGTCAACAGCTATCATTGGGACTATTTCTTTGGTTTAAAAGAAAAGTCGTGGTAAAACTCTATCTGCATTGCTAGATGCCATCAGAGCTGAACCAACCCTTTACAGTGTTTCTACATTGGATTTAATATCCAGATGTGGTGAAGGCATGCGGTAATATACCATGTAGACCGATTGCCATCTGCTAATCAATTTCTAGCTGAAGAGGGTACGGTCGGGGACTGGATGAATAATTGGGAGCTGCAGAACCTGGGCAGCGCCTCCATTAGTGAAAGTAAGCCAAACTGCAGAAACAGCTGCAGCTCAGCTGGATGAGTAAAAAGAAAAACAAATCCTGAAAGAAGAAATGAAGGCAGGGGAGCATGAGGTACATGTTCACCTTGACTCTGATTTTTCTTGAACAAATCTAATTCGGTTGTTATCGAGTGCAGTAAATCCAATCACCTGTGAGCCCTTACTGTCTGAACGAGTCCTTGATGTTCAGCCTTTTCAGCACAGAATGGGAGTTAACGTAAGAGGTCATCAAACTGTTAAGACTTGAACAATAGACCAAACATCTCCAAAAAAAAAACAGGTAGAAATCTGTTCAAAGATCAATAAAACTGTGATTTTTTTTCAGATTAAATAGAAAAGGGATGGCGGATGGTTTAAAGTAGACTGATATGATTATGAAGAAAAATCTAATCTGCAGCCAGGCCTCCAGAAGACTGGCTGAGAGCATCACTAGAGTGATGTCATTTTGCCCATTTAGAGTATTAGACGAGCGAGAGTGGGCTGATGGTTGAGATAATCAGCCAGAGTTGGTAATCTTCTTCAGAAAACATTTGTTGTTTTGTTTTTCTCTTTACATCCCGACAAAAATCAATAAATCAAATCAATCAGATTAAATCATTCGTCAAGATAATTTCAGGGGGGGGTGGCTTTGTAGGGAGGCCTGAACGGACGGGCTGTCAGTGTTGCAGACTTGGCGACTTTCTCGCTAAATTTAGCAACTTTCGGAGATACTGCTGCTAGCTACTTTCAATGGAAAAGATTTGGCGACACTAGGCTGGGTTTTGGGGCTGAAATGATCGGCGTTTACCTGGAGTTAGCTCTGTTTTGGTCTCCACCAACTCCTGAGAAACAAATGTGTCAATGTAGCTGCTAAATGCTCCACTAACTTTACAGCCAGTTGCTAACTGTTACTGTCTGCTGCTGGACAGGTAGCACACAGCTGCCTGCTGCAGTTTAAGACAAAGCTGATGAGTGCAGTGTCTTGCCCCCACCAAAACTCCAATGAGATGAAAGAAGTGAAAGCAGCGTGGAGCTGAGGGGAACTGCAGAGTTGGATGACAAGTCTCTGTGGGTTCGTCAATCCCAGTGACACCTTTCCATTGCGCTTCGTCATTTCATCCATTATTAATATAAGACATATTGATTGGTGCAGCTTCAACAGTGCCATGGCAAAATTCCACCTAGAGGGCCTGGGAAGAGCTAACACCAGCCCTGACACACGGGCCTGGATTATACAGTCCATTATACAATCATTCTCTGAGCCATCTTCCTTGGGCTGAATCTGGTATTGTCAGCACTTAAAGCCTTCCCAGATGGTAAAAATATAGACTGTGAATCAGCTTAAATTAATTGGGCTTGATATGGTCAGCAGACATGTTTTGCTTTGAGAATGACGCCAGATACATTTCTTTCCTGTCTTAATCTTAATCCCTCTGGACCTTCCTGATCTACCGTGATACACAAGTTCATCGAAAGCTTTTACGTTCCTTCATGCTTCATCAAGCCCTCACCCATCCTCATTAAGGACCCTCATCAATCCTCTGGATTCCCTTGGTGAAAAACATATTTTTGTCTTTTTTTCTCCCAGAACTGCAACTCATGTCATTTGCACTTTCCTGCCAATCAGAGTGAAGCGACAAGGACCAATGGAATGTGTGGCGAGTCAACGGACGAGCTCATTCTTTAGGATCGTCCCATCATTTTTCATCAGAAAGACAACAAAAAGCCAAGTGAGCACATTCAGCCACAGCTGCTCCAGTTCTCTACATCTTATAGGTTCGATCCAGGTGTGTGTGTGTGTGTGTGTGTGTGAGAGAGAGAGAGTGTTTTTGGCATCTCATACATCTCTGGTGGCCACAGCAGTCAGTGCTTGCTTGGTAAAAGGGAGCTCTTCAAAGCTTCTGAACATGACATTCTGCCTTAAGTCTGCAGATGTCTGTTTAGTTTTGATTTAATCTCTGTACACTGTTGAAAGTCGTCTCTGGTATATTGGCATTTCAGTCGGTATAGATTTTGTCAGATTAAATTAACAATGATGTATTATTCAAAGCCAGGTTTAGTTTTCTTCTGTCAAGGTCACTCGGTGATGCAGTCCTTTTCTGACGGGTTGCTCTTGTACCAGTGGTTTGCATGTATCCTCTATATTTACCAGGATTGGCGATAAACACCAATTATTTTCTGGTTCTCATTAGCACCCGTTTGATGATCAACTCCATTCAGCTCCTTCTGCAAGAGTGACGGTGGGAGTGACGTGTGCACAGTCTTCACATCTTCTCATTAACAGCCCTTTCACTTGCCACATCGCCATCTGGAGACCAACATTGTTTTATTTAGCTATACTTGAAACACATCCATTAATAGGACTTCTTGGTTCGAATTCACAAGTCTACAGTGATTGATATCACTTGTAGTCCGCCTGCTGCACAACATCACTTCATCTAATTGTTG